TTATTATTATTATTATAACGTTCACTTTTAACCCAGATTAAGATAACTTTTCTCGTATATTAGCATTCAGCAGATTATGTCAATATGGTTCTAAAAGAAGTATAGACAGCACTAAAGTAATTGTAGACCTTCAACTGCAAGTTACAGACAATTGTTAAAATATGTGAGTGGTAGGTTAACTATAATATGCTACGCTAATTTTTAATAATGTATAACTAAATCCGTAAAAATACGATTTCTGTAGTATAGCTCATGTCAGATGACATTGAAACAGACCTAACGATACAATTAACAAAGCGTTTATGATATAAATATATATGCAGTAAAATATGCAATATTATACTTACCTATATAGGTATTGAATAATATATAGGTAGGTACCTACTACTCAACTATACACTCTAATGGTTTTTAAGAACATTTTAATTAATAATTTTTAAAGTTAGGTATAAATACAAAAAAAATATATTACAATGTTTTGATCGTAGCTTGAACCATTCATAAATATTGCAACATTTACGATTTATCATGTTTGTATATGTGCGTACCTATATAAAGTGTAAAATTGGTACTGTTTTTTAAATTAAACAATTTCAGTATCTATAATAGTTAATTAAAAACATACTAGTTCCAATTTCTACGTGTATTTTATACTTTTATTAAATGATTTTGAATGACTTTTATCCTAAGTAGAAATATTTTAATGACTAAGACTACTCGTTGGAATTTTGATTTCGATACATCAAAATTCTCAAAAAAATTATGTGTTCAATAACTTAAAGTAAAAAAAGGGGGTTCTTATATGAAAAATAAAAGTTTGTATCGCCACAAGGCACTCTTAAGTGGTACAAAAATCTCAAGAATTTGAAAATATGGTCTTTGTGTATATTTAAAGATTTCAAAATTCACATTTTGAAGAACTTCACTGTTAAAGAAATAAAAGGGGCTGAGTATGCTTGGTGTAATGCGGTTGTATACTCAACTGTCGAAACGTGCTGAGTGTCCTTGCCGGCCGGTGTTGCTAGCCCCCGGATGGGTGACCAACCGGGTTTTTAGCATATAGACTTATAAACTAGTTTATAATAACCGTTATTAGCAACAAATCCTTCGCACATATATATTACGTGTTCCAAACCAACCGTTCACCCCTATAAACAGCTAATGGTAGGTCCCTAAAATATCCAAATGTTCGTACCTACTACACACAATATTATATTATATTATAGTCCCAATAATCAGTTAAATCTAAATTATACATATAAGTACCCATCAATTAATAATATATATTTATTATTTACAATAAATGATTTTTATTTAAATAAAGTAGAACCTCTACTTAAAAAATTGAAGATTCTTTAAGAAAAATTTGTGAAGTAGAAATTTTGTTGAAATCTCTTTTTTTATAACTCATTTTTAGTGTACAAAATGAATGAAGATAATAATACATAATATCAGTAAATAAATAAAAATAAATTTAAATTACCGATAAACCTATATTAAGTATGTAAATTATAGTTTTTGRTCGAAAACTTTCAGATATCCTGTATTGATATTGTTATATTAAAATTGTATATAATATTATTATAAAGGTTTAATGTGAATAACACACTTTTAAATTTCGTACTAGA